GCATCCTGTATCATAACTACATGTGTGCCGTTTGTAACAAACCAAACCTCGTGAAAATCAGTTGAAAATTCAGTGAGTTATTCTATTTTACTTGTGCATACAGCTCCTTCCTCAATAGAAGTGAATGCACTGTGGAGGCGAAGCGAGACCCATCCAAGATGGCGGCCGGCGAGGACGTCGGCTCTGATAGGCAGCGGCAGTCAGTGTGGCGTCTATGTATATATGTCTATGATCAGAAGCCTGCACTGATGCACACTCGCTATCTAAGGGCTGAGCAGTCCACTCGCACTCAGCGATAATTGGTTTGGGACGGCCCTTAATATGGCGGAGCTCCGTGTGACCGCGCAAACGGAGGGGGAGTGAATAGGGCGAGGGGATAGGGGCCGGTTTGGGATTGGGCCTAAGTGTAAAACCCACTCCACGCCTTCTCTCCTTCCTTTTTCCGACTTGCGCAGGTAGGAGGGACGGAGGTGGGATAGAGGAGTAGCTGCGCCTGCGTGCATGGTGTGCCAAACTTGCAAAATCCGCCTGGCCACACCCAGTTGGCGAAGCGCCTCGCCCGGTCTGCGAAACTAGAGCCCATGATGTGCGTGATGACAATATGGGTATATTTCTAATGTGTATATAAACCTTGTTTGTCCTGCAGTGAAACACACCCTGAGGTATGCCTTAACTGCATATTCTGGAGTGCAAGACTTCAACTTTGTCGGTGTTACAGTGGTTGATGGCATAGTGGTGGGTAACTGCGACAGCAGCAACAAGATAGTGGAACCAAAACAGGACTGGACAAAAAAATTCATTGAAGACAATCCTCGGCAGTTGGAGTGGTACACGCGACAGTGTTTAGAGACTGAGCCCAACTTCTTAAAAGCCACGATTTACAGTTTGAAACAGCGCTTCAACCAAAGTGGAGGTAAAATATTTGGCATTCTGTTTTTCACTGGTTAGGACTGTTTGGAAATTATATTGATGTCATGATATTTGAGTAGATATCGCACTCTTAGAACAGATGTGTTAAAAAATGACAACATGTGTAGTCCCTGAGCACACTCGCTACATGTGTTAAAATTCTGCACAACATGTGTCATTTTTAACACATCTGTTTTTGCTGTGCGTCTTCGATTTTGGATGTGTCGTCTTCTGGTTTTAAAGGCTGCATTACAATAAAGTGATGTAACTTTCTGAACTTAACACACTGTTCAAACATTCTATTATTTTTCTTTACCCAATTAGTTGTTATATTGTTAGTGGTGTATATATTTTCTGAAAGCAACATCTGTCAACCCCTACAGTCTCGTCACAATATTTATATCAAGGTATTTGGTCAAAATATTGTGATGTTTGATTTTTTCCTATATTGCCCGGCCCTATTGTATCCTGACACTCCAGAGAGCCTCAAGAAACTATAGTCAAGACCCCGCGTTCATCTGTACAGGTGTTAGTTCAAGAATCCTCACGCCCCACTTTTCATCTAACCTTTGGTATTGCTGCAGAACACTTAACCTCCTGATACACAAGCTTTTCCTTAGTATGCATTTTTTATTTCTTCTAGCTATTTTGGATTAGCAGGACCCAATTAGATTTTTCTTTAAAACAAAGCATTGTCTCTGAGCAGTAAGTAGTTCTGGAAAAAATGTCATTTTGCGGTTGATGGGTTTATTTTTAATAGTCACAATTAAAGTATAAAGCAGTATGTTTCAACACCTGAATATTGCATTGGATATGTAAATACTGATCAAGTCTTAAACTGCTCAAAACTGTTGTTTCCAGTGCCTGAACATGGCTGTGCATAAGGCAAGTCGTAATTAATACAATCCAATATTTAATTTGGAATAGGCTATATATCAGATTAATTATTTGGAGTTATTTCATGCTGATCATACCAACCTGAACGTGGGTGAAGAGAGAGATAGCCGTGGTTAAAAGATGACAGACAATAAGGGAGAGCAATAAGGTCCCCAGCTGGACTCCATCCAGGGATATTATAGTTCATGGTCGGCATCTTAACTTAAACCCTGTGACTCTGTACATAAAACAGTTTAGTGTAACCAGATTGCAAGAAGACATAACCACTTGGTTTACTGTCATTGTCAGTTATTTACAGAACATTACTACAGCTGTCATGGAATGGAATTTAGTTTTCATCACTCATATAAAGAAAAAGTGCTGATTATCCGCACTTGAATCATGAGCACACCACAAGACTGGGAGAATATCTGTGCATCACACAATGTAGAGTATTTCTGAGATCATCTTTCCACTGGGGCTATGCATCATCAGTGCATCATTGCTCACTGCAGACTCTGTCTCTGTCTCTCAGGTGTCCACATTCTCCAGAAGAATAGTGGTTGTGATTGGGATGACGAGACTGGAGAGGTTAATGGTTTTAATCAGTATGGTTATGATGGAGAAGACTTAATATCATTCGACCTGAAGACACTGACATGGGTCGCTCCAAAACAACAGGCTTTCAACATCAAAATGAGATGGGACGCTGACAAAACTAGAATTCAAAGCACTGAAGACTACATCATGAAGATTTTCCCTGAGTGGCTGAAGAAGTATGTGGCCTACAGCAACAGCTCTCTGCCGAGAACAGGTAGAGTCACATGACCTGATGTAATTTCATGAACATAACCATGTTATTACAGTCTGTATTGTTTTATTACTCCACTGACATGACCTTCTTAGATTCTGTCCCTGATTGTCCTGACTTTCTTTAGTGGTAGTGTAGTTCCCTTCTCTGTCTATATACAGACAATGAGGAGGTTGTGTAGCCAATGGGTTGTTGGTTGTTATGCAGCACTGTCATATGTTCTTATAGCTCATAAGATGGGTGTATGGGCATGTGGCATATTCCTCTGAAAAAAAAAAGTTGGTGGACAATTTTGATGCACACAGTTGAGTCATACAGGGACAGTTCAATGATTGTGTGACAATTTATATTTAAGCGTACTGACAGGGACAGGAATCATTAGGCAGACAAGGGTCAGAACTAGAGAGGTAGTCGAAACAGGCAAACAACTCCAAAGGTACAGGCAAGAAATACAAAGTCAGGCAGAGGGTCAGGCAGGCAGGAAGTTTACAAGTTCCAGATTCAGGTTTCACATCATAGATAACGCAAAAGGTAAAATAAAGCAAAGGTAAAAAAGCTTTGCCAACCTGCCAGGGAGTGAATGCCAAAGGGCTGATTAATCGCTGATAAGGAAATTGTAAAAAGGAGGGACAGTCTGAGGCCATGAGGTGGATGAATTGAAAAATGCAATTAAGGAACGTTGTAATGGGGAATGTGGCTGGAGAGGAGGGACAGAGAGAAAGATAAGACCATCATTGTGTTCAAAAAGCTGTTTATTCAATATTTTGGTTTATGATCAAATACCTGCAAAACTAATGACATTCACATCAACCTTAGCTGTATTTTCCCTTTCTCATCTTTCTCTATCCCCTCTCCATCTCTCGCTCCCTCTCCCTCCATTGTCTCTCTGTCTCCTCAGAGCCCTCAGTGTTTCTCCTCCAGAAGACGCCTTCCTCTCCAGTCAGCTGCCACGCTACAGGTTTCTTCCCTGACAGAGCCATGATGTTCTGGAGGAAAGATGGAGAGGAGATTCATGAAGATGTGGAACATGGAGAGATTCTCCCCAACCATGATGGCACCTTCCAGATGAGTGTTGACCTGGACCTTTCATCAGTCACACGTGAAGACTGGTGGAGGTACGACTGTGTGTTTCATCTCTCTGGTGTAAACGACAACATTGTTACCAGACTGGATGAAGCAGTGATCAGGACCAACAGGGGTAAGAATGAGACCAGAGGGTGCTGATGGGGACTGCATGTCTGTGGTTTGCTTTAGCTTTTGTCCTCCAATGAA